TTTTTCATTCTGCACGGCTTAATTTTCAGCTTTCAGCGCTATCACACTTTGAATGACAATTGCGCGGTCATGCCACACTGTACCCAGATGAATTTTTTAGCATTTTTTTTTAAACAGATAAAGATTTATTTTGATGATATTTATTCACCGCTGGGATTTTTATTTTTTTTCTATATAAATTAAAAAGTCCAAAAATTTTGAAAATAAATATTTCATCATAAATCTTGGCCAAAATTTTTTCCGTTATCTTTTTAGTAAAAAAAAGAATAACCCAAATTAGTTTATAACCAAAAATTATAATTTTAAACTTTTTTTTACATTTTAATTTTATTTTTTTTTGTTATGTGTTTTTTTTTTTTTACATACCGTCACCCTAGCAGTAATGTCACCATGGTGACACTGCACTCCTTGTGGGAGGTGATGAAGATTTTTTTTTTTACACTGATTGCTTTTACACCCATAAAGGCTGTACAATCATTTCTCTTTCCCTCTGGCTGCATTCCTGCAACCATTGAGAAATACTGTGTGAGCTGTGATTGGTCACAGCTTGCCACATGGTACAAGGCTGTTGTGAATGGCCCTGTACCATGTGATCTCTGTGATCATTCACAGATTTCACACGTAGTAAGCAATGATGTCAGAAGTGACATCTTGCTTACTACTCTTCATGTGATCACTGATTGGCCAATCAGTGATCACATGATCGGGACATCGCACAGAGGTCTCGTACGACGATCGGTGTTCCTCTGTGTCCGGAGGACATAGCAGGCACCGTATTGCGGTGCTGAGCGCTCCCAGGGAGCGCGCACAAGCAGGGAGCAGGGAGGCCGTTTATAAACGGCCACCCGACCCTGCACTGCCACCGTCCGGCTGTTTATATACAACGACCAGACAGGAAGGGGTTAATGATTCAATACCAAATTTTCCTATGTGCTCCGTGCTATGAGGTAGTGCTGCACTCTGCGTTCCGGATATAGGAAGAAACAAATATTATTCCAAAAGAAATTCACAAAAACCTGAACTAAAATAAATGAACGATAATAAAGTGCTTCCCTCAAAGTATATAAAAATGAGGATAATTGCGTTTGAACCCACCGCTGATAGGTGCATATAGGACCACAGAAATGTGAGAATAACTCAATTCTTAAAACCAAAAAGAAACATACCATAGCAATTGTGATATTCTGGTGGATGTCGCTCACACCGGTGCCATGAAAAATCAACGTCTCTCTTTATTTTTCCAAATAACAAAAAACAGCTTTCTGGCAGCAAAAGAAATAAAACTGTCCCTAACAGTGGGGTAATAGTCCTTCAGCCTCTACAGGGGCTCAAACACACAAGTCTGGAGCAGACCGAAACAGTCCTTAACCCAAAAGTAGTCTTCGTGGCTTATCACCATCCACAGAATAGGTCACTCCACAGCAGGGGGGTATTTACCACAAGGCAAACAAGGCACTTGCCTAGGGCATAGAAGGGACATAAGAGGAGAGAGGGGAGCGCCAGACTAAGTGCAGTATAAAATTATCATTTATTGCACATAATATAGAGTAACTCACAGGAGGTAAGTGGTATTCAGGCATCAATATAATGGGGACGTCATCCGGACGTAGTACCAGAGGCAGAGTGGAGGAAATGGATGGGTTCCAGGGGCCACAGCTGTGGTGATGGCCAGGTCTCTTACACCGATCCCAGAGAAAGAGTAGAATAGGCGGGTGAGTATCCAGGGGGCCACGGTAATGGTGGGAGTCACGTATGCACCTCTCCAGCCTGCATGGGCTGTGTCTCGTTGGTAAAGCCAGCCTGGAATGCAAGGTGGCCGCCAGGTGGAAGTGACGTCAGTGACAGAACGTGATGCCGCAGGAAGGGGGCGGTAACACATTTCAAAGCTTATCACTTCTTCGTCAGACCTCGGCAGGTCTCACACACACTGGCTCTGAAGAAGAGGTGCTTCCTCGAAACGCGTCAGCCACCAGCGATCCAGAGGCTCCCAGTCCCCAGCAGACCACCCACAGGGGTTCCTGTACCACTCTGCATCCTTTGTGACATGTTTCCCATGTATATCTGACTTTACATCATTTTATCTTGTGAGTATTTGACTTTTTCAATAAATCCTATTTTTAAGGTAATGCACTTGGCCTGTGCGCCCGCTTTTTGTTTTCCACACACGGATTCTGAGGTCAATTTAATGCAGATGAGACACTATGTGAGTTTAACCCCTTGCCTACCGGGCACTTCTACCCCCTTCCTGCCTACAGGGCACTTCTACCCCCTTCCTGCCTACAGGGCACTTCTACCCCCTTCCTGCCTACCGGGCACTTCTACCCCCTTCCTGCCTACAGGGCACTTCTACCCCCTTCCTGCCTACCGGGCACTTCTACCCCCTTCCTGCCTACCGGGCACTTCTACCCCCTTCCTGCCTACAGGGCACTTCTACCCCCTGCCTGCCTACAGGACACTTCTACCCCCTTCCTGCCTACCGGACACTTCTACCCCCTTCCTGCCTACAGGACACTTCTACCCCCTTCCTGCCTACAGGGCACTTCTACCCCCTTCCTGCCTACAGGGCACTTCTACCCCCTTCCTGCCTACCGGGCACTTCTACCCCCTTCCTGCCTACAGGGCACTTCTACCCCCTTCCTGCCTACAGGACACTTCTACCCCCTTCCTGCCTACCGGACACTTCTACCCCCTTCCTGCCCCCCGGGCACTTCTACCCCCTTCCTGCCTCCCAGGCACTTCTACCCCCTTCCTGCCTACAGGGCACTTCTACCCCCTTCCTGCCTACCGGGCACTTCTACCCCCTTCCTGCCTACAGGACACTTCTACCCCCTTCCTGCCTACAGGGCACTTCTACCCCCTTCCTGCCTACCGGGCACTTCTACCCCCTTCCTGCCTACAGGGCACTTCTACCCCCTTCCTGCCTACAGGACACTTCTACCCCCTTCCTGCCTACCGGGCACTTCTACCCCCTTCCTGCCCCCCGGGCACTTCTACCCCCTTCCTGCCTCCCAGGCACTTCTACCCCCTTCCTGCCTACAGGGCACTTCTACCCCCTTCCTGCCTACAGGACACTTCTACCCCCTTCCTGCCTACAGGGCACTTCTACCCCCTTCCTGCCTACAGGGCACTTCTACCCCCTTCCTGCCTACCGGGCACTTCTACCCCCTTCCTGCCTACAGGGCACTTCTACCCCCTTCCTGCCTACAGGACACTTCTACCCCCTTCCTGCCTACAGGACACTTCTACCCCCTTCCTGCCTACCGGACACTTCTACCCCCTTCCTGCCCCCCGGGCACTTCTACCCCCTTCCTGCCTCCCAGGCACTTCTACCCCCTTCCTGCCTACAGGGCACTTCTACCCCCTTCCTGCCTACCGGGCACTTCTACCCCCTTCCTGCCTACAGGGCACTTCTACCCCCTTCCTGCCTACAGAGCACTTCTACCCCCTTCCTGCCTACCGGGCACTTCTACCCCCTTCCTGCCTACAGGGCACTTCTACCCCCTTCCTGCCTACAGGACACTTCTACCCCCTTCCTGCCTACCGGACACTTCTACCCCCTTCCTGCCTACAGGGCACTTCTACCCCCTTCCTGCCTCCCGGGCACTTCTACCCCCTTCCTGCCTACAGGGCACTTCTACCCCCCCTTCCTGCCTACCGGGCACTTCTACCCCCTTCCTGCCTACAGAGCACTTCTACCCCCTTCCTGCCTACCGGGCACTTCTACCCCCTTCCTGCCTACAGGGCACTTCTACCCCCCTTCCTGCCTACAGGGCACTTCTACCCCCTTCCTGCCTACCGGGCACTTCTACCCCCTTCCTGCCTACAGGGCACTTCTACCCCCTTCCTGCCTACAGGACACTTCTACCCCCTTCCTGCCTACCGGACACTTCTACCCCCTTCCTGCCCCCCGGGCACTTCTACCCCCTTCCTGCCTCCCAGGCACTTCTACCCCCTTCCTGCCTACCGGACACTTCTACCCCCTTCCTGCCTACAGGGCACTTCTACCCCCTTCCTGCCTCCCGGGCACTTCTACCCCCTTCCTGCCTACAGGGCACTTCTACCCCCTTCCTGCCTACCGGGCACTTCTACCCCCTTCCTGCCTACAGGGCACTTCTACCCCCTTCCTGCCTACAGGACACTTCTACCCCCTTCCTGCCTACCGGGCACTTCTACCCCCTTCCTGCCCCCCGGGCACTTCTACCCCCTTCCTGCCTCCCAGGCACTTCTACCCCCTTCCTGCCTACAGGGCACTTCTACCCCCTTCCTGCCTACGGGCACTTCTACCCCCTTCCTGCCTACAGGACACTTCTACCCCCTTCCTGCCTACAGGGCACTTCTACCCCCTTCCTGCCTACAGGGCACTTCTACCCCCTTCCTGCCTACCGGGCACTTCTACCCCCTTCCTGCCTACAGGGCACTTCTACCCCCTTCCTGCCTACAGGACACTTCTACCCCCTTCCTGCCTACAGGACACTTCTACCCCCTTCCTGCCTACCGGACACTTCTACCCCCTTCCTGCCCCCCGGGCACTTCTACCCCCTTCCTGCCTCCCAGGCACTTCTACCCCCTTCCTGCCTACAGGGCACTTCTACCCCCTTCCTGCCTACCGGGCACTTCTACCCCCTTCCTGCCTACAGGACACTTCTACCCCCTTCCTGCCTACAGGGCACTTCTACCCCCTTCCTGCCTACAGAGCACTTCTACCCCCTTCCTGCCTACCGGGCACTTCTACCCCCTTCCTGCCTACAGGGCACTTCTACCTCCTTCCTGCCTACAGGGCACTTCTACCCCCTTCCTGCCTACCGGGCACTTCTACCCCCTTCCTGCCTACAGGGCACTTCTACCCCCTTCCTGCCTACAGGACACTTCTACCCCCTTCCTGCCTACCGGGCACTTCTACCCCCTTCCTGCCTACAGGGCACTTCTACCCCCTTCCTGCCTACGGGCACTTCTACCCCCTTCCTGCCTACAGGGCACTTCTACCCCCTTCCTGCCTACAGGGCACTTCTACCCCCTTCCTGACTGGCGGCACTGCTGGGCTACACTGATGGGCACTGGTGGGCACAGGTGGGTGGCACTATTGGGCACAGGTGGGTGCACTGCTGGGCACAGGTGGGTGATCTGCTGGGCACAGGTAGGCAGAGTTAGTGGGCGCACTGCTGGGCACAGGTGGGCGCAACTTGTGGGTGGCCTTGCTAGGCACCGATCATCAGTGCCCTGATGATCGGTGCCGATCCCCGCTCTAACAACTGCTGGTTCTCGGCAGTACTTTCCTCACGATCTGACAGCGTGAGGAAAGTGCAACCGAGAACCAGCAATTGCATTTCCCGGTGATCACCGTGTCATTGGACACGGCTGATCACGTGGTAAAAGGCTGCTGTGATTGGCCTTTTACCACATCACGTGATCAGCTGTGTCCGTAGTGATCAGCTGTGTCCGTAGGACACAGCGAGCACGGAGATCGCCGGGTGCGCGCCCCCAGGGGCGTGCAGGAGAGCGCGTTCTGGGAGGACGTCATATGACGCTCTCCCAGAACTGGCCGACCGCAGTGCAGCCGTCATTCGGCTATCTGCGGTCGGCAACTAGTTAATTATCACCTGTGTCATTATTATGTGTTCAGTTTTAAAGGGATGAGGTGGCAACCCTAGGCCCAGGCCAGCAGGGGTGGCCCAGGCAGCTGGGTGAATCAGAGGTAGCCCAGGCAGAGAGGTAGTTTGGCACGATGGAGGGGGACAATTACTGGAGCCAATCCCATGTATGGGTCTCTCTGCAGCAGCTGAAAGCTGAGTTCTTCTCCTCTCCCTCCTGCTGGCTGCAGAGGGAGCCATACAGGGGATTGGTTCCAGGAATTGCCCCCCCCCCCCCCCCCCCCCCGTCATGCTGATCCCTCTCCCTGTGCACCATATATTTCCCCCTGCTGCTCAGGCCCCTCTGTGTGCCCCCACCCTCGCAGTGCTGCCGGCTTACCCACCAACAGGGGGGCCCTCTCAGGTTGGCTGTATGGGGCCCCGTGGTTTCTAACCGCAGCCCTGGCCACCACAGTATAAGTACTTGAAGTAAATACATAGCTAAAATGTTATCTATTGGCAGTGTGATTACAAATGTTGCTTGGCATTAGAATGTGGGAAACATTTGATCACCAAAAGGTTATTCTTTGGTTATGTTGCCCTCCTCTTGTACAGGTGAAACTCGAAAAATGAGAATCTGGTGCAAAAGTTGATTGATTTCAGTGCAGCAACTTAAAAGGTGACACTAATATATGAGACTCATTCCATGCAAAGCAAGATAGTTCAAGCCGTGATTTGTCATCATTGTGATGATTATGGCTTACAGCTCATGAAAACCCCAAATCCACAATCTCAGAAAATGAGAATATTCCATGCAATCAATAAAACACGGATTGTACATAGAACAATATCGCACCTCTGAAAAGTAGAAGCTGCATATGTACTCAGGACTTGGTTGGGGCCCCTTTTGCAGCAATTACTGCCTCAATGCGGCGTGGCATGGAAGCTATCAGCCTGTGGCACTGCTGAGGTGTTATGGAAGACCAGGATGCTTCAATAGCGGCCTTCAGCTCTTCTGCATTGTTCGGTCTCATGTCTCTCATATTTCTCTTGGCAATGCTCCATAGATTCTCTATGGGGTTCAGGTCAGGCGAGTTTGCTGGCCAATCAAGCACAGTAATCCCACGGTCATTGAACCAGGTTTTGGTGCTTTTGGCAGTGTGGGCGGAGCCAAGTCCTGCTGGAAAATGAAGTCAGCATCCCCATAAAGCTCGTCTGCGGAAGGAAACATGAAGTGCTCCAAAATCTCCTGGTAGACGGCCGCGCTGACCCTGGACTTAATGAAGCACAGTGGACCAACACCAGCAGATGACATGGCTCCCCAAATCAACACAGACTGTGGAAACTTCACACTGGACTTCAAGCATCTTGCAGTGTGTGCCTCTCCATTCTTCCTCATACTCGGGGTCCTTGTGCCTCTCCATTCTTCCTCCATACTCAGGGTCCTTGTGCCTCTCCATTCTTCCTAGATACTCGGGCCCTTGTGCCTCTCCATTCTTCCTCCATACTCGGGGTCCTTGGGCCTCTCCATTCTTCCTCCATACTCGGGGTCCTTGGGCCTCTCCATTCTTCCTCCATACTCGGGGTCCTTGGGCCTCTCCATTCTTCCTCCATACTCGGGGTCCTTGGTTTCCAAATGAGATGCAGAAGTTGCTCTCATCAGAAAAGAGGACTTTGGCCCACTGAGGACAGACCAGGTCTGTTTTTCTTTAGCCCAGGTAAGACGCTTCTGACGTTGTTTGTTGTTCAGGAGCGGCTTGACAAGAGGAATACGACATTTGAAGCCCATGTCCAGGATCCGTCTGTGTGTGGTGGCTCTTGATGCACTGACTCCAGCCTCAGTCCACTCCTTGTGAAAGTCCCCAACACTTTTGAATGGCCTTTTCCTGACAATCCTCTCCAGGCTGCGGTCATCCCTGCTGCTTGTGCACCTTTTTCTTCCACACTTTTCCCCTCCACATAACTTTCTATTAATGTGCTTTGATTCAGCACTTTGGGAACATCCAACTTCTTCTGCAATTCCCTTTTGAGGCTTTCCCTCCTTATGGAGGGTGTCAGTGATGGTGTCAGGTCAGCAGTCTTTCCCATGATTGTGATTCCTACTGAACCAGACTGAGAGACCATTTAAAGGCTCAGGAACCCTTTGCAGGTGTTATGGCTTAATTATCTGATTAGAGTGGGACACTTTGAGCCGAGATTATTCCACCTTTTCACAATATTCTCATTTTCTGAGATTGTGGATTTGGGGTTTTCATGAGCTGTAAGCCATAATCATCACAATGATGACAAATCACGGCTGGAACTATCTTGCTTTGCATGGAATGAGTCTCATATATTAGTTTCACCTTTTAAGTTGCTGCACTGAAATAAATTATTTTTTGCACAATATTCTAATTTTTTGAGTTTCACCTGTATGTTTTCCCCTAATTGATGCCGAGGTCTTGGAATGGAAGACTTTACCTCATTTTACACGTGGATGGAAGAGATGTTGTGTAGTTTGGAGGGTTTCTTACCATCTGTAATAGGTGGCTCTGTATTCTGGGACACATCTATAAGTCATATAAGGGTGGGGTTGGGGATGAAATGGGCAGTTCACAGAACCATCACAATGTAAGCAATATGATTTTGCATTAGACCATGATGGCCATTACATTATTTCCAGCCACATGATTGTTATTCTCAGCTCTGATTGGTTGGTTGGCATTGCTGAAAATATTTGTTGTTGCGGCAAATGAGAATTGTGTTAGTGAAACTTAGAGATTTTCTGGAAATGATTGATACTGATTTCTCCTCTGTTTTCAGGGTTCACAGTCCAGGCAGGCTGAGAAGAAAAGCTCTGAGGACAAAAGTAAGAAATCATTTATTCGAGACTAACAAATATGGAAAGGTTCAAGTATTACTGTTTTTATAATTACAATGGTGAGAGAAAGAAAGGATGAGACACAACAAAGGGGTCTGACATCTACTACTAAAAGGTGTTTCTAGGAAAACAGTGGAATATTACCCCCAACATCTTCAGGATATGTCCAAAGATGGATATAGAATTCCACCAGTGTGATCAGGGTCAGTCCCGGGATGGAGATATATTCCCTCCAGTGTGTTCAGGGTCAGTCCTGAGATGGAGATATATTCCCTCCAGTGTGTTCAGGGTCAGTCCCGGGATGGAGATATATTCCCTCCAGTGTGTTCAAGGTCACTCCTGAGATGGAGATATATTCCCTCCAGTGTGTTCAGGGTCAGTCCCGGGATGGAGATATATTCCCTCCAGTGTGTACAGGGTCAGTCCCGGGATGGAGATATAATCCCTCCAGTGTGTACAGGGTCAGTCCCGGGATGGAGATATATTCCCTCCAGTGTGTTCAGGGTCACTCCTGGGATGGAGATATATTCCCTCCAGTGTGTTCAGGGTCAGTCCCGGGATGGAGATATATTCCCTCCAGTGTGTTCAAGGTCACTCCTGAGATGGAGATATATTCCCTCCAGTGTGTTCAGGGTCAGTCCCGGGATGGAGATATATTCCCTCCAGTGTGTTCAGGGTCACTCTTGGGATGGAGATATATTCCCTCCAGTGTGTTCAGGGTCACTCCTGGGATGGAGATACTGTATATTCCATCCAATAATTTTGGATCTGTCTCAGAATCTTCCAGTAATTGAATGTGCCTTCACAGCTCTGGTGGATCCTTTTAGAAGGCCTCTATGTATATATTCTGCTTTTCTTTCCTGTTGGTCCTCCACAATTAGAAGGAACCATGGTTCTATTTTGAGGTCACCAACTCTCATCCTGTCCTGGTGAATGGACTCAGCATCTTAACAAAGAAAGACAATCTTGACCAATAACTCTCAGAATGTTGTCATTATGTTCACTGTGATGTAGATTAAAATTATCCCCTAAATATTTTTCCCCAAGATTATATTTTACTCTGTTACAGCCTCGCCAGATGATGGAGTCTCCCTGTCCTCTCTGGTTCTGATCGAGAACATCGAAGACAGCCACGCTTCTGAGATTTTAAACCTCCTGGTGGAGAATACCAGTCAGAAGGTTGCGGACGTGGACTTCTATGTGGAGATAATTCCGGAGAGCCAGTCTGCAGTTGTCACCTTCACATGCGATATTGGTGAGTCCAGACTTTGTGATTTGCCTTTGATTTAGATACAGAGCCTGGAATGAGTCTCCCAGCTTCGAATATGGACCTACAAGCTCCATCATGTATTATCATCCAATGGTCCTTGTAACAGAGTGCTTTTTGCCATAAGCCCAATCAACGAGGGAACCACAGTGAGGCCAGCACTCTACCAAATCTTTATCTACTGAGTGCTTGAGAGCAATGAAAGCTTCAAAAGAAAAAAAAAGAAGCCAACAGATTTCTCCATTCACATCGATTGATGTGGATGAAGTAATCTCTGCCAGAAAAAGATGACAAAATATTTGCCGAAGTATTGGAGCGATCCGCCCCAGACCCCCACGCTTCGTCATATACATTATTTCTTTAACTGCAGATGAGAAATCTCCTGCTGCAAGCACTGACGTATATTCTGAGAGCAAGACCCTGTTGCTGTCAAAATAATCAGATCGGTGCTGCAGCTGAATGGCGTTCGTGCAAAGCAAACAACGGTTAACAATAAAACACAGTAACAACAGAACATTATTAAAACTTTCATTTTTTTTTACTGATATCTGTGCCAAAAAAAAAAAAAATTAGAAAAATATATGCCGAAGCATAGGAGCAATCTACCCACTGACCACCCCAGGACCCCATGCTTGGGCATATACTGTATGTTCTTCTTTTAGCTGTGGATGAGAAATCTGCTCTGGCAGCGCTCAATGTATAAATTATGAGAGCACACCATGCTGCAGTCAGAATAAACATACCAGTGCTGCATCTGATTGGCGTTCCTTCAAAGCTGTTATTGATCCTTGGTGTGGGAGGGGGCTTATATAAACGTCAACAGCCTATGTGGAGGCGTCCCTAGGATTGGTGTCACCCTATGCGGTAACACTTGGTGAC